TATACTGGACGTAAGGTGGATGTCTGGAGTTGCGGTGTCATTCTGGTAAGTCGTGTGATTAAGACAGAACAATAGTTTAGACTGACCATTGTTTACAGTATGCCATGCTCGCCGGCTACCTCCCCTTCGATGATGACCCCGCCAACCCCGAAGGCGACAACATCAACCTTTTGTACAAGTATATCGTGACAACGCCTCTAACCTTCCCCGAATACGTCACACCTCACGCTCGGGACCTCCTTCGCCGTATTCTCGTGCCCAATCCCCGTAAGCGCGCGGATCTATTCGAAGTTGCTCGTCACAGCTGGCTGAGTGAATACGCGAACCTCGTTGAATTCATCACAAGCTCGACAACGTTACCGTCAGAAGTCCCCGATTCAGGCGTGTCACCAGACGATTACGCCGAGGCCCCGACGATTGCCCGAAGCTCTTCTGTTCGCGAGGCTTCAAAGCAAAAACAATCTCATCCTCCTGTTGTTGGAGGACTGGCGAAGACGCATGGCAGTGTCGATCCCGAATCTGAGACTACTCATCGCAGCACACCGAAGGATGCAAAGCGGAGAACTGTTCAGGTTGAATACGTGGCCCCTACGACGAAAACTCAACGTGGTGCAGATGCCGCGCCTTCAAAACCTAGTTCACATTCCCTCCAACAGCAAGGACCAGTGGATGTGCCTGAAGCCAACACTGAGAAGCCTCTTCCGCGTGAACCTCCTATGACAAAGGACAACCCTTCTCGCACCCAGTCGAGACGTCCACAGAGCTCGCACAAGAGCGCTGTCCCCCACAGGCCAGCTCGCGACACCCGCGCCACTTCTGACAATGCCTTTATGACTGGGCCAACCAACACAGCAAGGCCACGGACCCAGGGCTCAATGCAATCTTCTGCGTCAATGGGTCTGCAGTCTCATGGGAACTATGGTCAGCCTGCACCTCCCACTATTGCCGATACAAACGCTCACGGTCGAATTCAACAACCTCAAAATCCTGAGGATGAGGAGAACATCGCCAAGACTGTGGGTAGTGTTCCTCCCAAGGTGATGAAGATGTCGACTTTCCAGAATGAGACAAAGTCGACAGGCCGAGGTCACAAGAGGTCCAACACCTTGGGTGATCTTGGTAACAAGATAATGGGTCGCAGCGGGTCTATCTTTGGGGGACGATCTAAGAAGCGGCCGGAGCAGCAGCCGCAACCTGACAAATCAAGGAAGTATCCTCCCGTCAGTATGCCCACCACGATGATGCCAGGTGAGGAAGCCGGTCCCCGGCCCTCCATGGAATCAAAGGCCTCCCGACGATCATTCTCCCTCGGACTTGGAAAGAAGCGTAGTGGCAGTGTCCAAGGTTCTAGTGATAAGAAGGACCGCCGGTTCTCCCTGGTTAAGGCGATGGGCCTTGGCAAGGACCAGGGAAGTGTAACTGGGTCTGAGGCGGATTCACAGCAGGATCTGCCCATCCAACATCCTCGAGCTGAGCAACTCCGTGGCTACAGCGCTCACGAAGAGGCTCGACATAGCGAGCCCTACTTTGACGCCCCCTACGAACAATACCCCCAACGTGATACAGCACAGTCTAGCCCTGTGTACCACACACGCCATGCGAACGCTCAACAACAGGATGGCCGAAGACCCAGCGCAATCCCTACATATATACAAGGTAGTCATCTGAACACAGGCTCTGACTCATCAGTGGATGTGCGACGACCTCCCACTGATTCAAGGTCTCGCCCATACCAAGCGGACTTTTCAGAGTCAGAAGGTTATGATGGACGACCAGTCGGAAGCAGTCGTGACGACCGATCAAGTGTGCTTCAGAAGAGCCACAAGAAGTTTGCGGATGCGTACGATGGAGAAAATTACCGCGGGCACGAAGGCAGCAGCGGAGCCGCCAAGCGGGTGATGGATTTCTTCAGGAGACGTGGAAAGGCAAGGGGTGGTGAAGACCGGTGAACAAAGCATGCGTTCAGCACCAGGAGTTAAGGGCGTACCGTCTGAGTTTGAAGATCTCTTGTCTGGAAGTTCCGCACCAATGTTCGCAGTTGGATGCCATAATTGTCATTGTCTATTATTATTTTTTGCCGGGACGCTAAACACCACACACATTCATCTACCAGTAATGAGGGACGAACACCAAGGGCTCTCGACGATGCCCGTACGCAACTTGGAGACCGCCTAGGGTTGGTCCTCTCCATAATGCATGCACATACCTACACATACTCACATCACATCATGGCGCAAGGGGATACGAGATTGAGATTGGGTGGTGGTCCCGGATGGTTATACTGCTCTACACTCTACTACATACATTTACTCGGTTAAGCAAAGTTTGTTGTTTCATAAGCGGTAGATGGGGGAACAAAGATGTGGGCTGGATGACCCAATGTTTCTGTACATTCTGAATCGCCGAAGAAGAAGGAAGA